AAACTCTCGCAATCATTTCCTTAAAATCAAAAATGAACTGCAAATGGGAATGATCAAGAAGAAAAGAGAAGACGAAACTCCCACAGGCCAGCGGGGCGGAGCCTGTGTGCAGGGGAAGCGCCTGAGCATAGGTCAGCACACCATGGACAAACACACCACGGAGAAAGCAAACGTGCCCTCGTGGGGGCAAGACTCCGAGGGAGGGCTGGGGGAGCTGCCTGGGCAGGACAGGTGGGCCCGGCCACCCTGGGGGCGCAGGGTCAAGTAGCACAGCCCTAGGAAGCTGCGCCACCCTCTGTGGCTCAGTCCAAGTCCGTCCCGCCCCGGAGGTGACCCCCAGGGCGCAGCAGACCCCTCAGCAGTGGGTGTCAGTGGATCCGCCTGTTGTGCCCCCCACTCTGTCTCTGGGGAATCTTCTCACCGCCTCCAGCCAGCACCTCTGGCCTGTACCCCAGTTCCTGTATGCATAAATAAATACATCTTTTAAAAAATTATTACACAAACAAACAACGGCACATCAGTGAGGGCAGGCCCCAGGGCCGGAGCGGGCACACACAGCAGGCGCATGAGCGTTTGTTTCTTAGAAAAGGCGCCATTGGCAGTAGGCTTCGTAGGTCGCGACAGCACCAGGCCCAAGAGACACTGAGGCCGCCTGCAGACGCGAGACAGAGGCTGACATTGCTGCTGGTGTCCAAGGTTTGGACCCGAGGGGCTGGCTTGAGGTGGTGGCAGGAGGAACCCGGCCGCCCACCACCTTACACGCGGTCCTCTCTACCCAGGCGCACGGCTGCCCACTGCGACAGGCCGTCCAGACACCGGATAGACTTCACCCCAAATCACATTAGGAAAAGTGGTGCCACAGAGGCAGGAGGGAGCGGACAGCACTACCCCACCTGGGGCCAGACGCTCGGCAAGTCCAGAATCAAGGATGTCAGAGCCCAGTGCCAGGCGCTCCCAGCCTGTCTCTCCTCTAGGACGCGGTGGGCTGAGTCCTGCTCCCTCTTCCTGCTGGCTTTCAGGCACATCTCCACATAAAGGAACAAATCGCTCCCACTTTTTAAAGGCCTTGGGCGTGAGGCACCAGGGCTCCCTAACCGCTGCCCACTCCCCCACCCGTCAGGCGCTAGGGGTCCGTCCTTCCAAGGGACTTTTGACTGCGAAGCATTTTCGAATCAGCGTTTCTGCTAAGCTACTATGAAGACACCCAAAGCTGCCCAGACAGCCCGCAACCCCATCTCCTGTTTATCTGAAGGGAAAGCAGCCCTGGCTAATGGAAACCAACCTGAGGCGGCGGCCCTGGCGATAGGCGGGTGCGGGGCCCGGCCTGGGAGAGGAGCACCTCCGGGAACCGAGGAGAGGGGACTGAGAAGGGGCTTCTGCTGGCCTTTATGCTGGTCAGCTGCCCCAGGCCCCTCCCTTCCGGTAATGCCCACACCTACACTAATCCCGTCAGGTCAGCGGGTCCCCATCCTAATCCCCGCTGCTCTGCCCACTGGGGGCTACCTTCCTTCTTCGCACTTCCTTCGCAGCCTGTGACGCAGCTGCGACAGTCCACCAGGCTGCTCTTGGCCTTTCCCAAGGATTTCAAATGATGCACCTGTGATTCTCTCTGTGGCCGTACCTGTAACAGGTCCAGGTTTCATGGACGCCGCCCCCACTCCAGATACTGGAACTACTAATCCCATCAATACCGAGGAGAAGCCGCTGGGACGTGAGGGCGGAGCTGAGCAGCCAGGTTGGGATAAAACCGGACATGTGGGCTCTGGGGGTCTCACGGCTGATCGTTTTGGCTCTCGACCAGTTTTCAGCGTGCCGGTGGAGTCCAAGTCAGCAGAACTGGTAGGACATTCTAGTTACCTTGTATTTCTCTCCCTCTTTCCCTGGGTTATTCCTTTACCTTTCTCCTTATAAATAAATCCATTATTTAACCTTTTTGAGTGTGTCCATAATACGATTGAATCGTAAGTGCGCGGGTGAAGACCCACAGATGGGCAACCCAATTCACACTGGGGTGCCCTGTAACACACCCACCGTGTTTGAAGCCTTCCTACCGAGGTTTCCATGGCGAGAGGGCCCGGGAGGGGCATCTCTGTACCTTCTGTTTGGTCTGTGAGCCAAAGCGAAATTGGGCCCTCCCTGGTGTCGCGATGGATTAAAGCACAGCACCATGAAGCTCATGCCTGCATCCACCTCAGCATGAGTTCGACCCCAGGCCAGGGAGCTGACCCACGTGATGCAGCAGACAGCTCCTGTCTGGCCCGCTGCTCCCCTCAGCAGTGTACTTCCTCCATCTGCCTATTCTGCTCCCCACTCTGCCTCTGGTGAATCTTCTCACTGCCCCTGCGCCTCTAGCCTGTACCCATTAAAAAAATAAATCAAAAAGAAAAGAAAGCAAAGTCCATTTTTAGAAACCAGGGCCACATATGCCCATACTGCGTCACCTGCACCTGGGGGGTGCCTTAGTGCCCAGCCCCAGGACAAGGCACGAAGGCTGGAGATGCTGACCTGGGTGTGGGTGAAGATCGAGTTGACATGGGCCTGGCTTGGGAGTCCAGGAATGAAGTAGGAATGTGTGTGTGGGGGGTGTCAAGCCTCACCCTAGGTGCTCTGATCTGTGTTGTCGGTGTCAAAGCCCAGCTCAGGCAGAAAATGCCAGAAGCCTGGACTTAAGGCCCAGGACATGACGTGAGGCCTAGGGGCACAGAGGAGGCTGCCCTGTCCCCCAGGCACCTGGAGCAAGCTGCATGGAGGGTGGGGGCAGGGTCCTGGAAGCCGGGGAGCTCCTGGGGTGTGGAGGTGGGGGGTGGAGGGTGGAGTCTGGAAACTCTGAGGCAGCTCTGGGAGCCCTGCCAGTCAACCACCTCTGGTGTGTGGGAGGAAGTGGTGTCCCCAGAGAAAACCCACGCAGACACGGAGAAAAACGCACGAAAGTAATGGCAGCCTGCAACCACGTGTACTTTCCCACGGGCGTCACATCAAACTGACATCACTCGGGACCCTGCGTGGGGGTTGACTAATACCTTGCTTAAATTTGGTAAATATAAATACATGGTAAAAACATGTACCATGTATAATACTTTATATGTTAATTGCGTTAACATAGATGATACAGCTATCCATCAGTCACGCGTATGCACACACACACACACACAAACACACATACACAGTATCTGACCTCCCCATAGCCAGCTGGAAGTGAAAACAGACGCTTCTCTGCAGAAAGAGGAGCTTCTCACAAACAGACCTAGCAGGACCAGGGAATCACAGCAAATTCTACAATCCACTAAACCTCATGAATTTATGTCGCTTAGTTATTTTTAAAGAGCATCGGAGAGTTGGCATTTTTTTAAATACACTTTTATGCTGAAATTTTCAGTTATCAGCTAGGACTGTTTTCATACTTTATGAAGAAAACTAAAACATAAGTCTCCACAGATCCATTGTTCTTTCCTACACACAAGACACACACCGGCACCTCCACAGCAAAGTCTCCCTACAGCAAGTCGGGGGTCCGTGCCACAAAGGAGGAAACAGACTCAGCCACTGAGCCAAGTGTTCGTCAAAAAGACCCTTGTAAAACCCAAAACAGTGACTGACTCTCCAGCGCCAGCTGTGTGTCCCCTAATTCAATGCAATTCTGACCCTATTTTCCTGGGGAAGCCACCAGCCAGCCTGACCCTGGGGCCCCTGTGGAGGAGGCCAGCTCCCAGGACAGAGGTCACTGTGACCTGACCAAGGGGGCAGCCCCAAGAGTCATGTGTTATCCGGCCACAAGGGACTAGGAGAAGCGTTTCCACGGAAGATGAGCAGTTTGAGGGATGAGGGGCCTGTGAGCCAGAGGGAAGCGACTGCAGGGAAAGAGTGGGGGAGGGAGGCTGAGAGTGAAAGTCCTCTCCAGGCACAAAGCTCTGCCCCAATCGCCAGTTCAAGGAACCAGAAGTTTCCAGCCCCATTCTTTGTTGTGTAAGGTTGATGGCTCTGGTGGTTCAACCCAGTCTCCAGTCCCTGGTGGGTCTACGAGGTCTCGGGTGGGGGGTGCTGGCTGGAAGGGGTGTTAGGGCTTCCACTTCCCAACTGCTAATCCCATCAGCAGTCCAAGACCCACCCACTTCCCAACTGTTAATCCCATCAACAGTCCAAGACCCACCCTCCCCTCAGGGGGCACCTGAGATAATCCTTCATTAACATAACAAAACCGCCACCTTCTCTCAGCCCTCAGGCAATTCCCATGGTTTTGAAGTTCTGGGCCATAAAGGACACAGAGAACCAAACAGGGATTTCTCATTAAAAAATGGCAGCAAATTAAATGAGTTTTATCACATGCATAGATTCACATGCAAAGATATGTATAAATGCCACCGAAATTAGGATACAAAACAATTATATCACCCTCCAAAGGAAAAAAAAAATGGCAGCAGGTCCCTGAAATAGACGTATGTTTTCAGTCAGGAAGTTCACTATATCCACTGTCACCTTGCATTGACAAAATGTTGGTGTTCTCTGGCCTTCACCCTTCTGCGGGTAGTCTGGAATCTGTCCGCAACTGCTCTAATCAATTGTCACCTAGAGGGAAACGGACACTATTCTCTGAATCACAGGGGTTCACCCCCAGCGATGGTGAAACCAGGTATGCACAGGCCTCCAAATTCCAGTGTTGGAACCCAAAACCCCATTTCTCAGGGCGGGAGCTGAGCCTTTGGCAGGGGACTGGATGAGGAGGAGGTGCCTGATGGGCCCGATTAGACCCCCGGTTTGCCCGCCCCCAGAGTAAAGACCCTCAAAGGGAGGGCGACCACCTGAGGCCACGCCCCTCTGATGGGTGGCGGGAATTGCTTCCACCAATGGGCGCGGGCCCCGCCCCTTCAGGGCGCTATAAAAGGCAGAGCCAGGCTGTTCCCAGTCACTTGGGACCCAGATCTGCCAGCTACAGGGTCTCTGCGTGGCTGGTAAGGATGGAAGCCCAGGCCGAGCCTGACCCCTCCAGCCCCTGCTCACCGGACATGCCCCCCATCCAGCAGAACTCCGCTGAGGAAGGGCGCTCAGATGTGGAGGAGAAAGCTTTGGAAGGTGAGAGATGTGGCGGGCTCAGCGTGGGCAGCAGCAGGCCGAGCCCCGGCTATGGCCGGGAGTGGGCAGAGGGCTGTGTGCCCCTTGGGGCTTATTTTCAGGTTTGAGAAGAAAATGTGACCTAGTCCTCTATCTGCCCATGCAGGGTCCACTCCTCTAAACTCCCTCTTTTTCTCCAGGAGCAAAAGCCATGACTTGTGAGCAGAATTCCAAGGAAACAGAGCTCAAAGATAGAAACGGCTCTGTGGGAGAATCAGGTGAGACATCCTTCTCTGGGAAAGGTGCCTGGGAGGCGGGTGACTCAGTCTCTAGGGGAAGGAATCCAGGTACCAGGACTTTCCAGATCCTGGCCTCTGGGACTGCTGGGAACCCGGGTCATAACCCGGGCTCTGTGGGGGTGGGGGGAGAGGGGGTTTCTGGTGTCTCTTGGTAGGGTCTCAGTTCTCTTTTCCTTCACAGAATCTAAGAGCAACTCCAACTCTGAGGCGCGCAGCTCCCGGAAGCGGAAATTGAGCCCTAGGAAGGGCTCTCCTGATGGCACAGGTAGGGCCTGCACCCGCTGAGCAGACAGCATAGCACTAGGTGTGTGGCACCAAGGGGTTGTTTGCTGCTGGAGCCAGTGTGAGCACAGGGATCCAGACTGCCCAGGATGCTCGGGGTGTGGCCTCCTGGGGCCGGAGGTTACGGGGCTCAGGAAGGGGTCCGGGGATGCAGTGAGCTGGCAGGTGTCTCACTCATGTGCTTCCTCCACAGGCCCCTCCTCAGAGGATGAGCACCCTGAGGTGCTGCACCGGGAGGAAGGAAAGGTCCCCAAAGGCAACAGCAGTGAGGGGGTCCGGGATTCCCGCTGCAGGAGACCTCACAGGAGGCGCCCTGGGTGCAGCAAGAAGCCCAGAGCCAGTTTCCCAAGGGGCCAGCCGCCACCACTCAGGAAAACCTTGGTGACCTCGCTGCGCTCAGTGTCCGAGGCCATTTACCAGGACATGGTCTGGGTGCAGAGGCAGCAGGTCCAGGCCCCGCTGGGCTGGGAGGACCTGTCTGCACTGGCCCAGCTGCGGGCACCCCTGGCCGACCTAGTCCAGACCATCTACACCATGGCCTCCCAGGCAGCCTACGCCATCCCTGCCGAGGGCTGGCTCAGCCCAACGCCTCCTCCTGGCGCCCTGGGCTTGCCTGGCACAGAGGATAAGGCCGGGGTGTTGCCTGCAAGCAAGAGGAGTCCACTTCTTCCCCTGGACAAGTGAAGCTGAAGCTGCAGTGGAGAATACTGGGCACAAGCTGAGCGGACCAGACCCACTGGCACAGGACTGGGCTCTGCCAGCAGAATCAAGGCCCACTGTTGCCCACGTTCCTCTGGGCGAGCTGCAGCAGTGCCGATTATGGGCGAGGGTGAATCAGAGGACGGGGGGAGTGGACACAGGCTCAGGATGGGGGCCTCGGGGTTTCCTTGATGACCAGGACTCGGACACGTCGATTTCATGTTCGGCGGTGTGTGGGGGACTGGGCTGGAGGGGTGCCGGGCAGCACGACTTTCTCATGAGGCCAATACAGAGTCCTTCATGTCAGCATATTCTGCACAGCGGCAGAGTGGAGGAACCAAATCCACAAACTGCTGTACTCTCTATATTGAGAAATATCTTTCTCAGCTTATGCTCTGCTTCAATGGCCATTCTGGTTGCTTGTCCTTACTTTAGAAGCCCCACGTCAAGACACATGGAATACTTGGTGACGCCATGTATTTACTCCTTAGCTGACTTCGATTTTAGTCTTGTTTTTAAAATGTTACTGTCTTAGTGCAATTATGAATTTCACCCAATTCTAGTTTACTAGCAGATACTAAGTCTAATAGGATAATTTCATTTGTGTACACATTGTGGTATTTGACCTTTTATAGTTTTTCTGGGTCATTTATAGTAGGAACATGTACTGTTACATAAATATGTAATTTTTATGTTTGAAAAATTAAAGGTAAAGCTTTTGCATATTGTGTTGTGCTTTGTCAAGTCTCCACATTACATAGTGATGAGATGAATACTACTTCGCGCTCTGTATGCAGACGAGTGGGTATCTCCTGTAGAACTGCTGAATGCAGGGCTGGGTCAGGAGACTATCCTTTCCACTTTTACTTCAATCCACCTTGGTGGTTGAGGGGTTAAAATCTCACCACCATCAAACTATCTGCAGCTACTGCAGCAGGAGTTCTAGCCTTGGCCAGGGAGTGACCCTCAGGGCACAGCAAACCTCTCCTGTTTCCCTGCTGCTCCCCTCAGCAGTGGATTCCAGTAGATCTGTCTGTGCTGCTCCCCACTCTGTCTCCGGTGATGACTATCTCTTTCTCTCTCAAACACATACACCCTGCCCCACACCTCTGGCCGACATCCAAGCTCTTGTATGCATAAATAAATAACAAATATATATTTTTTAAACTTAAGAATATTTCGGTCCACTTTGACTTTCCTACACCAAGCAGCACTTGTTGGAGATGGGAGAGCAGGTGAACATTCCAGAGAAAGGGGTCAGTTCAGTCATGAAGCATCACCAGTCATTCTACATAGGACATGGCTTCAAACTATGTAAAACCAGCTTCGACATGTAAAACCAGCTTCGACATGCGTACAAAGTCGCAATGTACAAGATACACTTGTCTGGCTGTTTCTGACCCTTTGCTGTGGGTCGACACCAGGAGATGGTTTAGACTTGGGGCAGGTTTTCGCCTCAGGGGCCCTGTTACAGGCCAACCCTGTGTGGCTGGGCAATTACCCACGGGGTTGGGTAACTTTGGGGGCTTGTTTTGGAAATTACTTTATCTCTTCTCTTCGTGGCACGTTAATTGTATTAAAATTCCTTTCCATTAAAGGTCTTATGTAGGAGAGTTTGTTTAGTCTGGGGATGGAAGGGAGAACCTTTCTAGAACGAACAGGTTTGGAGGTTGTGGGATGCCCTCACCCTGCTCTGTAATGATACCAAATTTTAAGGAAGAAAAAATAATCCATACAAACAGCCGTTTTTGTTTTCGAAACACAGCCACAGAACCCAGAACACCTGCAGCCAGGCCAGGCACAAACAGTGCAGAGAGGTGCAAAGTTACTACACAATCACGTTGGGTTTTGCATTTCCATCACGTCCTGGTTCCCGTAATCTACAAGGACGGACATCCTTTCATTTAATTAAATAGGAAATTTTCAATACCAGGCACTCTACGGTGCCAGGATTCCACCTCCCTGCCCCCATTTAGGGCCCCAATGCCCTTCCCGCCCATGTAACCTGGACAGGCACCTCAACCCACCCGCCAAAAACAAACCAAAATTTAAAAAATTAAAAAAAAAAAAAAACGGCTTCCACGTTAAGCGTTCGCATTCGTGCAGAGGAAGTTAATGTGCTGCCTCCAAAGTCACCAACGAGTCGGAGATGCACAGAGCCAGAGAGCGGGGTGGGGGGCTGTGAGGCTCATCTGGTACGAAAACTTGCAGCGCCAGACAGTGCCCAGGTACAGATCGCGCGCCCCCAACCCTGCCGCCCCGCCCCCGCGTCTATGTCCCACTCCCCACCCCCCCGCCAATGCCCGCGTCCAGCCCTGCGTCAAGCCTGCGTCTGTCCACGTCCCATAGGCCACTGGTCCCAGCGGTAAATCCGACTCCCACCGCCCGAGCGCACGCCCGCGTCCAGCCCCTTGCAAGCCCCGCCCACGCGCCAAAGTCAGACTTCCCGCACTCACAAGCCCCGCCCCAGGCGGACCCTCCGCCCCGTCCTGCCACATCTCCCGGCGGCCCCGCCCCGTTAATACCGCTGCCCCGCCCCCTCGTCAATGTCCGCCTTTCACCCCTCGCAAGCCCCGCCCCTCACACGCCTTCCGCGCCGACGCGCATGCGCAGGCGCAGTTCACTGCGGAGACGACCGCGGCGGGAGCGGTGTGGCGGCGGGATCGCGTGAGTGAATCTCCGTCTTTCTGGCGCAAAGCTGCCTTTTCGCGCTTCCCAGAACCCCCCCTCAACACCCAGGGTTCGGGGTTGCCCCGCAAGCTACGCTCTGTGTAGCTGCCGTCCCCACTAGCAGCTATTTGGCCTTTTCTGAGCGGCGACGGCGCCATGGCTCCCCCCAAGCCCCCCTTGTGGTGAGCGCCCCTCGACCGGCGCGGAGACGCCCCTGCTGGTTGTTCACCGGCCTGACTGCGGCGACCCCCGCGGAGACGCCCCGACCTGCCCCCCCACAGCCCGCACCGGCTCTGCGGTCTGAGGAGAGCAGCCAGGGCCGGGTGAAGCGCAGAGCGACCGGGATGAGCGAGAGGGTCGGGGGCTTGATGGGGACGCGGGGGTCAGGCGGGAGGGGAGTCCACGGGGAGCAGTCGGCGGCATCGCTGCGCGGGCCCAGCAGTTCCTGTTCAGACCTTTACTTAGTGGGCGCGCGTCTCCGCTGTCGGGACGTGGCGTTGGCTCTGTGACGAAGAGGAGCGGGAGGCGGGAAACAAATGGTGGGCAGGATGGAGGGGATCCAGAATGTGGACCGTTCGAAAGACAAACGTATTTACTTCTAGGATCTGACTGAAAAATTCCGGAGACCGGGGTTTCCCTGCTAGCCAAGTACCAAAGCTCTCCAGGAGTTTCTACACAACGGGGGCGGGGCGGGTAGGTGGTCAAGAAAGGAATACATGACCAAAAGAAAGCGCTGTGTGAGGCAAAGTCGTCCGCACCTTTGGGGTGGGAAAATTTGACTTCGTGGAGCCATTTTAAAAATGGAGTCGGGGCCCTCCCTGGTGGCACAAGGGGTTAGAGCGCAGCACTGTGGAGCTGTCCACAGCCACTGCAGCACGAGTTCCATCCCCGGCCACGGAGTGACCCACAGGGCGCAGCAGACCTCTCCTGTCTCCCCGCGGCCCCCTCAGCAGCAGATTTCAGATGATCTGCCTGTTCTGCTCCCCACTCTGGTGAACCCTCTCACCTCCCCACACTTCTGGCCTGTACCCCAGTTATTGTTTGCATAAATAAATAATCGTAAAAAAAAAAAAAAGAGCCAGGCAGCCCCTGGCTTAGATCTTATTTGAACTAAGATCTTTGGGCTGGGCCAGAAGCAACTGTTTCAAGAAACTTAAACAGCCATGAAGTCCACTCATGAGGACTGGTGACTGGCCTTCGGTCAGAGGCAGCAATCAAGTACGGCCAAAATAGCTGAGCCCTATCTAGCCTAACTCAGCCTTTTTCTCTGGCCACTTATCTTCCTCATTTCCTCCCATGAAAGAGGCGTTCTCGTTCTTTTCCATCCCCTCTTTTGGGCACTTTGCATTTTCTACCCAAATCAGTGTCCTCAGATTGCACATCGTTGGTCCTCAGTAAATATGCTTTGCCTTTTTACTGGCTCTGGGTCTTTACGCTGAAAAGGGGAAGTGCAGGGTTTCACTGCAGTTATCTCAGCGCACAGCACAGGCTCTTACTTGTGGGAGAAGCTGAAGACACAATTAAGCCCGGGTTGCCTGGTGTGGGGCTTAGCACGGTGACTCAGTTTGGGACCTCTCCTGTCACCCCACTACTGCTCCACCATCCTGCCTTTGGCATGACTCCCTGAAGATGCCTTCTGCCTGCTAGAGGGGGCTGGCAGTTGATAACGCCAGTCAGCTCTTCAGATTTACGTGGTTGAATTTTGTGTTAACAGGACAAGAAGACAGAAGCAGAAGACAGAAAGACAAACGGAGTAAGACCCAGCGGTGGCCCAGGCGGAGGTCCTGCGCGAGTGTGGAGTCGAGTGGCCGTGGCTCGTTGCACTGTGAAATCCTGACTTGGGGCCCATAATCTAGTTCATTAAGAACTTGTCTTATTTCTAAATTATGCAGAGGAGATTGGGGGTGGTGAGTCGGGGCCTGACACACCAGTATTTCCTAACTACCGTGTGAGAAATACTTCCATTGGCAGCCCTGTTCACGCAGCAGCAGACAGCTCGGTTGCAGGTCATCCTCTTCCCTTTCAAGAAATGGCGGACGACCTTGTGCTAAAAGTGGGGTTTTGAAAAAACACTTTCCAACACTCAACACGTCTCTAACAGCTGGGCGCTCAGCAGCTTGTCTTCCTCTAAGTGGTTTGGCAAGTGGGCACGCTGGACGGAGGCCTCCAGAGGAGCGATGCCCCTCAAGTCCTGTGGGCCTTGCTGGCGGGCGGGCGAGACTGCTCCGGGGCTTGGCCCCAGCTGCTGCCGAGGCTGCCGCACAGGCGGCCACTTCCAGGCCCACCTTACTGTTACCCATTTTGATTATTTTTTTCTGGAAAAGAGTTTTAATCTTGGGGTTGATTAAGCCCACGAGAGAAGCTTCTCTCTCTTTTTTTGAATAATAGTTTATTTTTACATCACTTTGTGCCTTTTTCCATCTCATTGTGCTCCCCAGGGGGCTTGCCATCACCATAGCCCAGTGCATTTCCCTCCCCCCACTGTTTTTGATCCCACTCCCCACTCTGCCCCACAGAATGTCTCTGGTCCTTAGCTGTTCATTATTATTTGCTCAGGACAATGAAAGGTCATGTGGAACCAGGGCAAACCTTTTCTGTTTTAACTTGCCCAGGCCACAGTGTCAGAATTCACTTAGACCCAGTTTCTGCTCCCTGAGCTCTCACTGCTCAGGGTATCTTGGTGAGAGCCACCCCGTGCCCACTTGTGGCATGGATATTAGAGTAGACCAGGACGCCTGAGCCTAAGCAAATGGGGTTCCTGAGAAGATATTAAAAATTCGGCATTTGTTTGTGGCTGGCAGTTTTCAGCGAGCATGTGCCCAGTTCTGACTAGGCTTTAAAATGTGTCTTAGTCCTTGGAAAGCATGAAAACTGCTGAGACCCGGGCAGGCCACTCCCAGCTTCTCTGTATCCCGGTGAACATCAGCTGAGTCAGCTCCTGGCATTTGGACCTCTTCTGGCTCCCACACCCCGTGGCCCCAGCCAGAGGCCAAGGACAGGCTCGGGGGTGCATGGACCACATGCCGGCTACTGAGGGAGGGGCCAGGCGCCTGGGGGGTGGCATTTTCCTTGGCTGTGTGCCAGGGGCTCAGGACTGGGCTCTGCAGCAGGAAGGGCTTGCCGAAGGACAGGCAGCACTGGGGTCTCCGCACCAGTGGCTCGCCCCTGTGCCCCTCTTGCAGCCGGGAGCAGACTGTCTTCCTGCGTGCAGCGCTCCCTTCTGTGCGCGTGGGGTAGAAGAAGTGGGGGGGAGTTCTCAGCATTAAACAGCATTTCCGTCACAGAATGACCTCACCCAAGAAAGAAGCCCAGAGGAAGAGGAAAGAAAGAAGAATGGCTCTTTCCCAGGTAACATCAGTATTCGTAGTTGGTCTCTGACCATGTCCTTCCTGGGCTTGCTCCTCAGCTGTCTGACCACTGTCGGAGGGTGCGTGCTTTGTCTGACGTCGTAAATGCATCTGGAGTCAAAATAGGTGAATGGCTGTATCTGTCCCTAAATATAGGAACTTTAGAAACAAAGAAGAGCTGACCACTTGTCTACCAGCAGGGGATTTAAATTCACAGCACACCCAGCCACAAAGCACACACACAGGTGTGTCCTCTTAGGGACTGTGGCGCAGCAGGGGTGTAAGGGAGAAAATGGTTAGAGTTTGGCAGCTTACAGAACATTCTGTCATCAGAGGGACGTCGCTAGCTGAGAATTTTTTGATTCAACATCTCACATATTTTTGAGATAAACTTCGCAAAAGTGTTGCAGTGTAGAGAGTAAGAAGTAGAATACTCCCCCCGTCACGTCTTTCACTATCACTCTTCCTATCAGGAGAAGAAAATAGACAAGAAAATGAAATAAAAGGCATCAAAATTGGAAAAGAAGTCAAACTGTCTGTAGTCTTGAACTGGTATTTAGAAATACCTAAACCTTACACACACACAAAAACCTTAAATCTACCAGTTATAGAATAGAAACACTCAAAAATCAGTTGTTCACAGGTGCATTAGCAATGAACAAATTGAAATTAAGTATAGTTACACATTAGAAATTATAAAATATTACTAAAAAAAAAAAAAAGAAAGAAACCCCAAGTGAAGGCCCCCCCCTGGCGGCATAACCAGTTACTGCAGCACTAGGAAGCTGTCTCCAGCCCCTGCAGGAGTTGGATCCCAGCCAGGGAGGGACCCCAGGGCCCAGCAGACCTCTCCTGTCTCCCCCTGCTCCCTCAGCAGTGGGTTTCAGTAGGTCAGCCTGTTCTGCTCCCCACGCTGGTGAATCCTCTCACCTCCCCACACCTCTGGCCTACACCCCAGCTCTTGTATGCATAAATCAAAATATATATTAAGAAAAAAAGACTAACTATGAAACTCTAGATAAAAATAAGGTAAATTTTTATCCCCTGTGTATGGCAGCAGACTTTTAGACACGACAGAAGAAAGACAGAATCGATAAACTGGTGTGCATCAAAATAGCTAATGTCTGTGTGTTGTAGGGCACTGTCCCGGAAGTGAAATCTGCCAAGTGGGAGTCAATATGCATAAGTCACATGTCTGGTAAGGGCGTGGTATCTGGAATATAAGAAGTAGTTCTACAACTCAACCAAAAAGCAAAGATTCCTATTAAAAAGTCTTCAAAGGATTCTGATGCACATTTCTCCAATGGGCATATAGCAACAAGCTCACGAGCAGATGCTCAGTGAAACTGCTCATTAGTCAAAATGCAAAATCAAAACCGTTTACTTGACACCATTCCCAGGCACCAGGATGACTGGGATAAAGCAGCATTGGTAGGCAGCTTTCAGAGTCGAGGCGCAGGGCGGAGCGTTTCACTCCCGGCATGCACTGAAAAGAACTGGAGTCAGGTGTTCGGAAACGTGACCCGAACGCCACAGCACAACTAACACCGGCGCACAGCGCAGCCAGCACCGGGGGGTGAGGAGGTACAGGGATGCAGGCACACCAGGCGGGTCACTCCGCGGTAGGAAAGGGATTTACTTTGAGGCGCAGGGCCTGCGCAAACCAGTGGGAGGCGAAAAGCGAGGCGTAAAGACCACACTATACCTGCCCACCTATGTGGAGCGCTCCCGAGGAGGAGGAGAACAGGCCGCTGCTTAATGACAAAGGGTCTCTGTGGTGAGGTTGGTTTTGAACTTAACAGTGATTTTTCGATGCCGAGTGTGAGTGTGGGCACTTGGAAATGGCCAACTTTACCTTGCGTGGCTACTCCAGCAAAGGCAACGCTCACACATCCCAAGCAGTTTTTACTTTGCATTAAAGTAACTCCCCGTCCACTTGGTGAAATGTGCTTTCCTCTCAGGGACAGCTGACGTTCGAGGACGTGGCCATCGAGTTCTCCGAGGAGGAGTGGGCCTGCCTGGGGCCTGCGCAGCGGGCCCTGTACCAGGAGGTGATGCTGGAGGCCATCAGAAGCCTGGTGGCCCTGGGTGAGGAGCCCCCCCCATGTTTGTCCTGTTCATCTTTGCATGTCCCTTGTGAGGCTCTGTGGTCTCATCTGTGTGCTTAATTAATGCAGTACTTCTGGAAAGAGGACTAGGTATCTGCTCACCTAACGTAATCCCTAACCATTCAGAGAGGCAGTCAGTGGGCTGATCTTTGAAAGGTTTTTCTATGTCATGTCCCCTCTTAGCTGAACAGACATCTGGGAGTTTATTCTGGAAAAGTACAGGATATCAGTTTTGTTTGTGAGTTGAAATCTCTCCTGGGCAGAATATTACCTCCACTTGGCAGGGCGAAGAGCCCTGGGCCACGGAGATTGAAGTGCAAATTGAGGGACATGCAAATGGATGGGATGTGTCAAGCCAAGTCCACCATGGGAACGCCTCAAATGGGAAAGCTCTGAGGAAATACATGTTTATTTCTCATCAGCTCCAGTGGGAATTCATATTCCTGCTCTCTTTCAAATACACCAGTGGCTACACTGTCCTCCGCTCTGCCTGCACTGACAGTTTGCAGCCTGGGCTTCTCAGGAGTGCTCCTTCACCCGCTCTCACTCTGGAGAGGGCTGGGCTAAACCCTAACCCTCTGCAGTTACCACCCCAGGACCCTTTCAGTTTCCATTCCCGTTTTGTTCTTGGGCGAATTCTCAGCGACAGAAAGGCAACATGGCCGCTTTCCCACTGCAGGTGGTTCTGGGAAGCTTCACGGGAATGTTGGGCCTTTGCCCTGCTCGCGTCCCTTAGCCTTCGCTCTGGGGTATTGTTACACCTGTCACAGAGGAATGGAGGAAACTTCTGCGGGTGTTACGCAGTAGGAGTAGAAAGGCTTGTCACGGAGGTCCACACTTGTTTCCACACACACGAAGTGTGACCTCGCTGCGTGCTCTCCCCGGAGCGAGAGTCTGTGTGCTGACCTCTGTGTGCTGTGCCCTTGGTCAAGAACTCCGCTAATGCAGCCGTCTCCCTGTCGTGCATTTCTCTCACTCTAGCTTTCCTGGTTTCTTATGCTTTTCTCAGATTTTGCCTACAAACGCATGCTTTCAGAATACAGACCCAGAGGGTCTGAAGTGTGAGCCTCGCTTCCTTATGAGTAGTTAAGATATCTTTACTTCTGTTCATCTGAACTTAATGCTGCAAAAATCCATGATTCTCAACAGTTTTCCTTTTTCTACTGTATGTTCTTCCTAACCTGGAAGTTATTCCTCTACTTCTCAAAGAATTCTTTTGAATTCCAGAGACCATTATTTTCTATAACTGGTAAAAGTTTACCTGTTAGATTTATCATGGGTTGCTGAAGTGATTTTATTATAATACATAGTTTTTTTAGTAATTTTTTCATACATCATATCCTCGCACATTACTAAAAAGACAAAATTAGAGGAGACAGTCTGAAATCTCAGTTATGATTTCACGTCAGCAGTTACACATAGTTCCAAACTGAACTATGATTTATTTACCCATATCTGGACAAAAAAAATATGGGTAGTATGTAGTGTGCACTATAGAAATTTTCTTACCTAAGAAAATATAATATACACAAAAATTACAATAATGTTTGAAGGTGACACTTGAGGAAATTCATTTTGAAGTTCATAGAAGTATTTTTTATGTACTTTATGTTTCACTATAAACTACCCTCTGATTTTACTTAACAGGAAGACTTTCTGCTGGATCTTTAATCAAGGAACTATCACAGGACATTGTTAAAGGAAAATTACATCATCTATTGATCTTGGAAAATAAAAGCCATGGCCTCAAGGATTTGGACCTCACAGAAATCTGGGGAAATGCGGATGCATTTGAGAGTGCATGGGACGATGATGGAAGGAATGGTAAAGCCATGTCCCCCACCCCCAACAGTCGCCCTGGTAGGGAAGAACAGCTTGATGAGTCCTCAGCTGACGCTGCTCAAAATCTGAGTGTTCCTGCAGGAGACAGTACAGACCTGTATTCTGGCGACAAGCCACTTGAGAGGACCTTGCTGAAAGTGAACAATGGTGTCAGCGATGCTCAAAACAGGTATATTAAATGTTTGCAAACGAGAACTGAATCAAGTTTGCAGGCACACCTGACTGAACTGCCGAGCTGTCCGAGTAAGGAGAAGATTTCAGAGTGCCACGAAGCTGAGAAGCCTAAGAGCAACGGTCCCTCAGTTTTGTCCCCTCAAAGGATTCCGCCAAGTGTCAAAAACATTTGTAATAAATATAAGAAGATGTTAAAATATCCTTTCTTACCTGCAAAATACAGGCGAACACATCCTAGAGAAAAATGTTACAAATGTAATGACTGTGGGAAGACTTTCAGCAAAAGCTCCAACCTCACAAACCATAAGCGAATCCATTCTGGACAGAGGCCTTACAAGTGTAAAGAGTGTGGCAAAGCCTTTACGCAAGGCTCACACCTCACGAGACATCAGAGTGTCCACACGGGAGAAAAACCGTTCAAGTGTAACATTTGTGCCAAAGTCTACACTCGAAATTCACACCTTACGAGGCACCAGCAGATGCACGGGGCGGAGAAGCCTTACAAATGCAGGGAGTGCGGCAAAGCTTTTACCCAGTCTTCGAATTTTACTCGCCATCTGAGGATCCACACTGGTGAGAACCTTAACAAGTGTGAGGAATGCGGCAAAGCCTTTGCTGTCCATTCAAACCTTGTGAAGCACATGGAAGAAGTCCACTCTGGAGAGAAACCGTACTTGTGTCTGGAGTGTGGCAAAGCTTTTAAGCACAGCTCACACCTCACGAGTCATCAGGCAATTCGCCCTGGAGAGAAGCCCCACAAATGCAGCGTGTGCGGCAAGGCTTTTCTGCAGTGTGCGAGGCTCACGGAGCATCACCGGATCCACACGGGAGAAAAGCCCTTCAAGTGCAGCAAGTGTGGTGACGCCTTCATGACACGATCGCAGCTTTGGGGGCACGAGAGAACTCACGCTCCAGAGAAGCCTCACAAGTGCAGCGAGGCCGGGTGCGGCCAGAGCTTCCTGCACCAGACGCAGCTTGTGCAACACAGGATGAGCCACACGGGACAGAAGCCTCACAAGCCCCATGAGAGCAACAAAGGCTTGAGTCACCGCTCAGACCTCACTAGAGCTCAGAGAGGCCAAACAGGAGAGAAAAATTATAAGTGCCCCGTATGCGGCAAAGTCTGCAGTCGGAAGTCACACCTTGTACGGCACCAGAGAAGTCACACAGGCGGGAAATCTCACAAAGGTAACAAACTGGGTAAAGCTCTTCCCCAAAATCTGCGCCTGTGGAGTCAGGAGAAGACTCACGCTGGAGAGAAGCCTTACAGATGCAGCGACTGTGGCAAGACCTTTGCGAAACGCTCAACCCTCACTACCCACGTAAGAGTCCACACCGGAGAGAAACCCTACATTTGTATCGAGTGTGGTAAGGGCTTCAAGCAGCGGTCACACCTCACAAACCACGAGAGCACACACTCCGAGGAGAAGCCGCACAAATGCAATGTGTGTGGCAAGGCTTTTATCCAGAGCTCACGGCTGATGGAGCATCACAGAATTCACACGGGGGAGAAACCTTACAAGTGCAGCAGGTGTGATAAGGCCTTTATCAAACGCTCACAGCTGTGTAGCCACGAGAGAACGCACACTGGCGAGAAGCCTTACAAGTGTAAGGAGTGTGGCAAAGCCTTTAGTCACGACTCCAACCTCATCCGGCACCACAGAATCCACACGGGAGAGAAGCCGTATAAGTGTAATGTGTGCGGCAAAGTCTGTAGTCGAAATTCTCACCTCGTGAGTCACCAGAAGATACACTCTGGAGGGAAACCTTACAAGTGTGTTGAATGTGGCAAAGGCTTTACAGATCAGTCAGCCCTCACAACTCATAAGAACATCCACACTGGTGAGAAACCGTACAAGTGCGATGAATGTGGCAAAGCGTTCGCCCAGTTCAGAAATGTTACAAAGCATCAGAAAATACACACCAAAAAGAAACGCTAAAATAGGTGGCGTTATTTCTCCTGCAAAATGGAAACTTTGGGCATCACCAGAGTTCATGGCAGGAGGAAACTTCAAGCAGAAAGACTGAGACAGAACGTAAGCCCTAATGGTCAGACTGAACGTTCACAGTGGAGACAGGCCACACAAAACCAGTGCGCATGGTGAGGCCTTGTCCCCAGAGCGCCACCACTGGAAATCAGAATATATGCATTTGAGAGAAGCCGCACAAGCGCGATGAATGGCAGGGCTAATGCCAACTTTACATGTTGTGGAACATGACAGAAATTCACCCTGGAGAGAAAGTTTACAAATACCATGAAGGTGATCTGCCTTTTCACAACTATACACTTTCACGAAAGAATTCATGTAACACGGGAACCCGACACGTGTCAAGGCCTTTGGGGAGTGCACTCGGGATACAGTTAAAAACCTCTGGACAGAAGCCAGTGAGGACAACTGCTGCTTCTGTCAGTTGGCAACATGAGGAAATTCATACTAAGGGAAAATGAGTCTAGTACGTCTGAAGATGAAACCATCCTCTTGTTAAATTCCACCAAGAAACATTAAAATTAGTTAAAACCCCTGAGGCGACCTCCTTAGTGGAACGAGGACACCTGTAAGAGGTCTAGTTAGGTTTCGTTTGTGTTCCCTCAGGTAGGTGAGGCTTCTTGACAAAGCTGTATTACTGGTGACGCCAGCTTGAAGTTTGGAATCTGGTGTCGCTCTCCTCTGCAGGCTTTCCGCGTGCCACGGTGGTCCCTTTCCCCTAAGAGGCAAGCACCTGACTGAGTAGCGGGGTCAGTCACCCCGTGAGCCTGGAGAGAGTAGAGCACTGGTTTGTAGACAGACGACAGTCTAAATCTGGAGCCTTAGAGAGTAGCAGAGAATAGATGTGAACTTACTATGCCAATTGTTCCCGTGGCAATGGCCCCACCTCTACAGTTGCAGGTGACTGAGGGCTTCTGTTGCCCTACCAGGAAAGGGTTATTCTACCAGATGATCGAGGCGTGCGGAGAAAGAAGTTTTCATGTGAGTAGAGGGACTGACTAGGGTGGGTTACTAGGCACTAACTAGGGTGGGTTACTGGGCACAGCAATGTGGTAGGAGAGGAGGAGGAATGAAGTAGTGTTAAAAGGTAACACCTGCTATGTAGTCACAGGCTAGTGAAAATTAGGTTTTTGGAAGCTGAATACACAGTTACACAGGCCAGTGAGGGACTCGATGCTGACAACTGAAATGGCCTTTAGATGCCATTTTAATATCAACAAACTTGTCATGTATAAGTAAGTAAATAATTTGTGTAACTATGAATCACATCCCTTCTTTCACCTAAGAACATCCCACTTCATTGAGGTACATACTGAACAGAGTAAGTCCTAAGACTCCAGGTTGTTAGCGCTAACAGTGGTATCTATACAATTTCTGTATTAAAAGTGAACAAACTGTACCTGAAAATGTATTATTTCTGACTTGCATTTGAGTCGTCACTCCACAGCGTATGCCAGGCTATTTCTGTGGCTGGAATGACATTACCACAGCAGTTCAATTACTGCCCCCCCTCCCCCGTCGCTACACGCTTAGATTTATATGGGCCCTCATTTGTGCCAAAGATGGACCTCCCAGTTGCTCCCTTATGTGAAATACTAATAGACACTTTTTTTTTTAATACTAGAAACGAGGGGAAAGAAATTGTGTGCTTGTATTGCCCTAGGATATGATTTGAAAAGACCGGTATTCATGAGAATAAAATTGTCATAACTGGCAACATGAAGATATTGCTGATAAATTGGAATTCTCCTGGACTCACTGAGACATTTTGTTAGCCTGTACTCGGCCTATTCTGCCATCAGAGCTGATGGTGCTGTTTGCTCGAGTCATTACGAGTTTATATATTCAGGACTTTCCAAGTTGTTCCAAAAGTGACTGGAGCGCAGGGATGGGTGACCAGTGTGTTATGGAGACGAGATGGGGATGGAGCAGCAGAACTTGTACTGTCGGTTTACTGGGCAAGGGAGGGAGCATCTGGGCCTTAACCACACGCCTACCACAAGGGCACAGCAGGAAGTCGTGGGGAGGCTTAAAATGTCAGTCACCACATGTGAGCATTCTTGCAGACGTAATGCTTACTCTTGGAACTCCTGACATACTGGTTGGGGAAGACTACCGTTTTCACCATGCTAGTAAGTTTCAACAACAAGGAATTGTCTGACCCACAGCATGAACCTACATGACATGTGTAACATGGCACTCAAAGCAAGAATGTCTATATTATGTCAGATGTAGTTGTTTTCAGAGAAAATAAAATCACCGTGGGAAATTACAAAACGACAGGCGAAGAATCTGCCGAGGTGATTCAGCAATCCTAAGTGGACATGCGCTAAAGAACACCTGCCCGGCACAGGTGTTCACAGAACTTGGGAAAAATGGACAAAGTTGTTAATGCAGTTTGTACTTGAATGTATCTCGGTAACAGAGAACTCCACAGAATCAGCGGGCACAGATGTGCAACATGGGGTCCGGTCAACATTTTTAGAACACTGCACAAAAAGTAGATTAATGCGGTTTTCACCGACATCAGCAAGCTAGATCATGGCCGCTACCATATAATACCCCTCAACAAGGTTAGACGACATCAAACGACAGATCATATCCTTGGCCTATCATGGAACCCAACTACAAACCAAAAACCGCAAAAAGGGACGTCAAACACTAGGAAACCAAGCAGCGTCCCCTTTCAGGAGAAGGTAATGCCATCAACGTGGGCTCCTACCAAGTCGGGTGGGGGTGGGAGGCAGGGCGAGCGTGGACAGTGGTGTTTCTGCAGTTTCTGCCTTTCGGATACAGCATTTTTTGTCTCCTTTAAACATTAGTTCCTAATGAGCCTGCAGAAATGCTCTAAAGTCAGATTGTGGGGAGGATTTCACATCTCTGTAAATGTCCTAAAAACTATTGAATTCTACAGTTAAAATGAAACGATTTTATGATGTGTAAATTACAGCTCAATAAACTTGTTTACTTTTTATTCAATATCACGCCTAGACCCAACAGATCTATTACCTCAACTTCATTTACTGGTTTGCACAGCTTTCAGATGCAGTTGTACATGGCTTGCCTCTCACTACATTATGTGTAACGTCCGCTCTGTGGCTCTATTGATAATGGTATGGTCCGCCATCAGCAATAAGCCTCTACCACAGCAGTTTCCTCTCAGGTCTATACTTAGTCACAACAGCTAGAGTCAGCTCAGCAGTTGGTGGTATTTTATGGTGTCCCTGGTTAATGTGAACGTGCTTTCTGTATGCAACTTAAGAGGGAACTGTCCTTACCTCAAATCCAGTCTCATCTTGCAGAAGCTTGTGGGTTGTGAGGAGAATCAAGTGTTTCAACATCTTATTTAACTCTCCAGTCACTGGTAATACTGAGCCATGAAGTAAAAACATTTTGATAGAACCCATGTAAAAGCGGCAGGAGATGGGCATTAATGTAAGTACAGATGTGAGTAGCTGAAGGACAGAAGTAACTGCCTTGCCTGTGAGTGAAGCTCCACGGGGATGAGCCGGGTGGCCGCCCCCAGACAAGGCGGAAACTGGCCCTGATTCGGCCACCTGGCTGCTGGGATTGTCTTTAAGCCTCTTTCTGTCCTGAGTTCCTTCACCTGTGGAGCGAGAGTGACATCAGTCCTTCAGAGCTGAAAATGTAATCAATAATGACACCCTTGGTGTCAAACGTGGACATGAACAGAAGATTTGGGACGTAAACAAATTCTGGGGGTTACTGGGGGGCAACGGCCACAGTAAATGTAGCACATACTTCTCCCTGCCAGTCGAGGAGCCACCGAGGTGGGCCACTCACAGCTGGCCTCCAGGGCAGCAGCTCTTCCAGTGACGGCCTGTCACGGGACACGGCAGGCCTGCGAGGGATCATCTCAAGCTACAGGTGGAATCTCGGGTCGCTCTCATCCACCACGACTGCAGTCCCCCAGAGTGCTGCCCTCTTCCCTTGATTCTCAGGCGCTCACCACAGCCGAGCCCCTCAGAGTCGGGGCCAGGAAAGGGCCTAAAGCCAGGTGGCCAGTTCGCACCAGTTCTGGGTCTGGCCACCGCAGCAGTGCTTCGGGTATGAAGCGGGGCAGTAAGCGCCCTAGTCGGTGTCCCGCCACGGGCCCTCGGTCGCCATGTAAATCAGCCGACCGGAAGCTGCCCATGTCCCAAGGTGAGCTGAAACAGCAACGCCCACGCAACCGGCGGCGCCCGCGCTACCAGGCCAGGCTGGAGCGCGCAGGGGACAGTAGAGGCCGAGCGGCCAAGCCAAGAGCATGCTGGTACCTGCGCCCCTGTGGCCTGGGAGGGCGCGGCCCAGCGGCTCCAGGTGGGCGACTTCCGGCCCGGCGCCCCGCCCACTCGGCTCTCCAGGCGCGAGGAAGCAGCCCGCGCTCCGGGAGGAGGGAGGAGCGAGCCCCGCCCGACACGCTCGCGCCGCGCAGGCCCAGCCTCTCCGCGCACCACCCAGGCTCCGCCCCCAGCCGCAGGCACCTCCCCGCGCGTGCGCAGCTGCTTCCGTCTGCTTGCTGTCGAGCTTCTGTCCCCGCGTGAGCAGTAGTTGTCCCCGCACCCGCCCCTCCGTCCGAGTCTTTTCAGACGTCGCCATGACACACTGGGGGTTCTCTGCGTTAAAATATCCCAGTAGGTCCCGCCCTGGGCTGCTCCGCCTTGCAGTTCCGGAGATGCGCCTTTCGAGATGCTTCCGGTGTCGTTGGCACCAAGGCCCCCCAGCCCAGTGGTTCTCCCGAAATCCTGCCAGAATTGCTTTTAGGTGTTGAAACAATGGCGGGGAGGGGGTGACTGTGGAGAGCCCACCAGCACCATGTGTGGCTTCGGCTATCTGCTCGGAGGATGCTCGCTGAGTTGGGACACAGCCAGCTGGCCACCGCCATCCTGCACACCTCGCTCCCTGTGTAAGTCATTCCTGTCACTGTCTCACACTTGTGTCTGCTTCGCGGTCGTGTCCTGCATCAAAGGCCTCACATTTACACAGGCTCTTTCTGGGGTGGATGGTCTGGTGTCCACTGGCGTATGCGCTCACGGTGAAGACTGTCGCGGTGGTGACACGTAAAAGGCCTCTGTCCAGAAAGAACTCTGATGATAACGGTGTGCACACTGGCCAGGCTGTGCCATGCTCCTACATCTGTGTGGTTTCTGCCCAGCATGTATTCTTGTCCAGACCCGCTAACCTTGCTCATTACATTTGAAGTTTCTCTGCAGTGTGCTGGCCCTGTGAGTGACAAGGCCAACTTCTGACAAAGCCCTTGGGCTCATTACACCTGTAAGGTTTCTCTTCAGTATGAATCCTCGCATGCTTTGATAGCTGTGAGTTTGTACAGAAGACCTTGCCACATTTAAGTTTCTCTTGTGCGTGAGGCAGCTCATGTCTGTGAAGGTATGATTCTGTAGTGAACATTTTCCACACACATCACAGCAAGAATGTATTCTCCAGTATGAATTCTCTGATGAATTATAAGGTAAAAATTTTCAGTAGGACTTTTGCCACACTCATTGCATTTAGTGTGGTTTCTCTCCAGAAAGCTGCCCCCTACGACAAGCTGTGGTATCAGGCCAGGCCCTTTCACACTCGCAACCCTTGTGTACTCTCTTATGATGTGCAGTGTGAATATTCACAAAAAGCTTTGACACATTCACTACATTTGTAGATTCTCTCACTTCTAGAAAAGATCTATTAAGAATAAAATAAGGGCCCTCCCTCCCTGGTGGCGCAGCAGGTTGGAGCGCAGCATTGCGAAGCTGGCTGTGGCTGCTTCAGTGCTAGCTGGATCCCTGCCCTGGAGGTGATCCACATGGCCAGGCAGACCTCTCCTGAACTGCCCGCTGCTCCCCTCATTGCTCTGCCTGCCCTGCTCCCCACTCTGTGGTGAATCCTCTCACAGCCCCTGCACCTCTGCCTGTACCCCAGTTCTGTATGCATAAATAAAATCTTAAAATGTATTAGAAGTAAACAAAGCAGATATTCAAAAATTAGGGGGAAAAATCAAACTAAAATTTGCTTCTTGGAATAAAACCAACGTGAACACCTTAACTTCTAAGGAAATAAATCACTACTCAGAAACCACTCAGCAAAGATTCAGATATTTCTACAGTAGAATTCTATCCAATATTTAAAGAACTAACAGTCTATTTCAAAACTTTTTTTTTTTCAGTTGAAAAGGGAACCAAACTCCTTCTAGGAAGCCAGAAATAGCAAAGCCAAAGATACTATAAATCATACAAGAAAACCACACCCCGATATCTCTGATAACCCTGCTGAAAATATCCCCAGATGAAAGCACCTTTAAGTGAGTGTATCCCATAGCCAAGAGGGATCTTTGCAACGTGGCTAAAAAAGGGAAAATCAATTTAATACTTCATTCACATCAACAGAAGGAAAAACCATGTGAACATCTCAATATGTGCACAGAAAACATTCAGTAAAAGTCAAGTCAACCATCATGAAAACAATGTAGAAACAGATACCACCTGTTTAAACATAATAAAGGCCAAACATCATGAGAGCACAGCAAACACACTCCACGGCTGGAAGTTTTCCCTCTAAGATCAAGACAGGCATGCTCACCCTTTCGACAAGAAAACAGAAAGGCTAGCCAGGTGAGAGCTCACCTATCTGGAGAGGAAGAGAGCAAACTTCCCCAACATAAAAAGAGGTGTATTGATCTAGTGCAGAATGGATATGCTCTTATATGGTAAAAATCCCGGAATACACACACACACACACACACACACACACACACACACACACACACACACACACACACACACACACA